ATATATATATATATATATATATATATATATATATATAAAATAAAGTTGAAAGGGTCCTTGGAGGTCATCTAGTCCAACCCCCTGCTCAGGCAGGAAACCCTATACCATTTCAGACAAATGGCTGTCCAGTCTCTTCTTAAAAACTTCCAGTGTTGGAGCATTTACCGCTTCTGGAGGCAGGTTGTTCCACTGGTTAATTGTTCTAACTGTCAGGAAGTTTCTCCTTAGTTCTAGGTTGCTTCTCTCCTTGATTAGTTTGCACCCGTTGCTTCTTGTCCTGCCTTCAGGCGCTTTGGAGAACAGCTTGACTCCCTCTTCTTTGGGGCAGCCCCTGAGATATTGGAACACTGCTATCGTGTCCCCCCTCATCCTTCTCTTCGTTAAAACTAGACATACCCAATTCCAGCAACCGTTCCAGCAACGTATTCAAGATGGACAATATTTATATGTAAGGTTGTAGGTATATACATATGAATATATATAGCACGTCTATATGTGTGTTATGTATGTGTACACTTTTGAGAGCAGGCAACAGAATTTCATTTTTAATGTGTGCCAGTGTGCCCACAGTAAAAAAAAATGGCAATAAAGGTTATATTATCTCATTGTCTTATGTTTAACTCTTTAGGCAACGTATCTCCTCCCAGAAATATTTGAGATAACTCTTTCCTTGTTGTTTTGCATCTTCATTGATGAAATTGAGAGATTGTTTCAAAGCTGAAGACGGAGTATGAGAATCCGATTCATTTTGTGTGCTGATTCCTTATTTTCTATTTTGGGGTGTCATGGGATACCACAGGTCCAGGGAGGCTTCTTGCAGACCACCGTGGAAAATCCAGAGGAAGGAAGGGAGCTCCTTCTCAGGGCCATCTCCAGGGAAGATCAGCGTTGTGACACTTCCGCAGGTGAGAAAAGTCCTTCAAAGCTCCATCTTTCAGTCTTTGTGGATTCTCTTGTGCAACATATCCTCGTATGCTATTAACAATGTTGTTTAAAGTCTCCATTGCTTTTGTCTCTCTTACAGATAGTGGGATGATGTCAATGGCGTTTGTAGGATCTGCCCCTTTTTCTACCATCTTTGAAAGAGCAGGTGGAACTCCAAGTCAGGTAGGAGGAGAAAGAGCAGAGAGATTGTAGGGGCCCTTTTGCTCCTAGTGTTGAGCCTCTTTCCTTGGCCTATCTTTTAATGGGGACATTTCATTTCCATGTTCAGGGTCTCATATCCTTCGAGGAAGTGGCTGTGTATTTCTCTGAGGAGGAATGGTCCCACCTGGATGCTGACCAGAAAGCCCTCTATGGGGAGATCATGCTGGAGAATTCAAGGACTGTAGCCTCTCTGGGTAAGGGCCTTTTGCTCCATATCCTTACCCTCACAAATCATTCTATCTAGATACCATCTAGTTGTGTTCCAGAAGATCAGTGGACCCGTAAGTGGCTTAATGACTTTGGAGATGGTCTTTGCTTCAGCAGTTCAAGTCCTAGCACTGTGTGTCAGGGTAAGCTCCCACACCTGCCTCAGCTTCTGCCCACCTAGCAGTTGGAAAGCCTGTTATATGTGAGTAGATAAATAGAAACCACTTCAGTGGGAAGATGAATCAGCACCTCGTGCTGATGGTTAGAATCCTGCTGGCACTGGGCCCTCCTGATTTCGACGCTTGTTGTGAAGTGGCTTCAGGGGATGACACTGTAGAAAAAGCCATTAATCATGCTTTCTGGTATGGAGCTAGCTTGCCCCATGGCACACCTTGGAAAGACCCATCACAAGACCCATCACGAGACCCTCAATCGACACATCCACACCTGATGTCAATGCTGCTAACATCGGATCTTTTTGCATTGACAACAGATGGAATTGTAACCATCTTTTACCTTTTGCTTTTAGAGTTAGATGATGTGGGGAGGGGGGATGTGAGCGAGAGTCCAGCTAGACATAACAACACTAGACCTAGTGTGAGAAACAAGGTTATTGTAACCAGAGCTGATAAGGAATTGGTGGGCTGGAGAACTGGAGAGGATGCCCGCACTTCAAGCTAATTGGGGAATATGATTTGTGATTGTTAATTGGAGGAGGGAATTGTGCTTTGATACTATGTGCTCAGAGGAGGGGAATTCGATTTTTGGCTTCTGATAGGTGCCCTGGCTCCCAGAACTCTGAATGGCTTAAAATTAAAAAGTAAGATAAAGTACAAAAAACATGAAGACAGCAGGAAGAGCTCAAAGCAAACATATAACACCCTCTTCCAATAGGGACTCAACTACCCCTCCTGCCCGAAAGTCTAGGGGAATAGCCAGGTTTTCAACACTTTTGTGAAGGTCATCGGAGGGCGGGATCAGAATTCAGGAGAGTGGGGGAAATCTCATTCCAGAGGTCAGGTCCCACTTCTTGAGGTTGTCCTCAAATTATGACTGTAATGGAGCCTCGATGATCGTAAAGCAAGTTATCATGGGAGAGAGCCAAGTAAAAACTTTTCTTGTGGTGGCCATTAATTGAACCATTGCCATGGTGGTTAAGTGAATCCAGGGTCATTAAGCAAATGCAGCAGTTGTTTAGTGAAGCCATTGTTTACTATGGGGTGTTTTTGCCCAATCCCGGAAATTTGTTTTTCAGCCAAAATGTAAATTGCAGTCACGTGGCTGCAGGACACCACAAATGGCCGTAAATCTAGGCCAGTTGCCAAGAGGCCAAAATGCATTCAGATGACCTTGAGGGGAGGGCCTGGCTATTGGAACTTTGAAACTAGGTCATAAGTACCTTTTGGGGGTCCGTCATAATTTCGAACAGTTGCTAAATGGCCTTAAGGTAAGGACGACCTGTACTCATTCTTGCTGAGATTCATTTACAGTCTTACATATTCATTTATTGAGATGAGAACTGGGCAAGCACACATAGCTACGCTGATTTATATGTGATACCAATTTTTTAAAAGTTTTCTACTACTGTATGTCTATAGAGATTCTCAGTCATCCAGATCATGGTTGTCCCAAAGGTGCTTTTTTTCAGGAAGCAACTGGACTTTCTTGTTTTTCTTTGAAGACGTTTCTCTTCTCATCCAAGAAGCTTCTTCAGCTCCGACTGGATGGTGGGGAATGGAAGGATTTATATTCCTTGCAGACCGCTGGTCATTTGCATCCTTTTAGAGCCATTGAGGCCACTTGGAGGTTTACCTGAGTGGTGCAAATGTTCTGAAAATATCCTGTAGCCAAGAAGGCTCCACACACATTTGCACTAGTCAGGTGATCCTGAGGACACAGGTAAACATCCAAGTGGCCTCAATGATTCTCTAAAAGAATGCAAATGACCAGCTGTCTACAAGGAATACCCCAAAATAGAAAGTATTCACGTCCCTGCTGTGCAATTTTATACATGAGAACTTGTGCGTATTTGGTTTCCCTTAGTGGTTACTTCATGTTGGTTGGTGAAATAGCTTTTAAAAATGCTAAACACTAGTTTGCAGTTTAATCTCTATAACCTTTCCTTAGCCTTGCTATATTTTCATTTTTTTCTTCTCTGCAGAAAGAGCTAATGGGGGAGAGGGGGGAAAGTACAACCAACAACTCCACACACATCATTCTGAAGAAGAAGGAGATAAAAAGAAGTTGGCCGATGAAATGGGATCAAAATATTTGGAGAGAAAAGGACTCCCAAAGGGAATAAACAAAAAATCCATTTTCCGGTGTGCTCCCGTCCAAGACTTTCTCACCGAGCAAAAGCATCGAGAAATAAAGAAGAGAAAATGGGTGGGGAAAAGCTTGAAAACCTGTAAAGACAGATTTGACTTAAGCAAACCTTACAGGAGCATTTCGATGGAAGAAAAATATCCCTGCAGGGAGGTGAAAAAATATTCAAATTGGACTTTCTCTACACATGAAAACATCACTGTGGAAGAAAAGCTATATAGGTGCGGGGAATGTGGAGAAAGCTTCGGCGGCAGCAGTTCCCTGATTTCCCACAAAATAACCCACATGGGAGTGAAACCCTACAAATGCACGGAGTGTGGAAAGAGCTTCAGAAAACGCAGTTACCTTACTTGTCACCGAAGGATCCACACGGGGGAGAAACCCTTCAAATGCACGGAGTGCGGGAAGAGCTTCAGCAAGAACAGTTCGCTTACTTACCATAAAAGGATCCACACGGGGGAGAAGCCATTTAAATGTGTTGAGTGTGAAAAGACCTTCAGCAAGAACAGTTCTCTGACTTCCCATGCCAGGAGCCATTCAGGCGAGAAGCCGTATCGTTGCCTGGAGTGCGGAAAGAGCTTCCGATGGCACAGTCAGCTGACTTCCCATAAAAGGATCCACACAGGAGAAAAACCCTACGAATGCACGGATTGTGGGAAGAGCTTCAACACAAGCAGCAGCCTGACTTCCCACAGGAGGCGCCACTCTGGCGAGAAACCGTACGAATGTCCAGAGTGTGGGAAGAGCTTTCGGGGAAGCAGTGCCTTCACTTCTCACAAAAGGATCCACACAGGGGAGAAGCCGTACAAATGCACGGAGTGTGGGAAAATATTCCGAAAGAGCAGTTCCCTCACTTCCCATAGAAGTATCCACACAGGGGAGAAACCATACAAATGCTTGGAATGTGGAAAGAACTTCCGGGAAAATGGTTCCCTGACTTCCCACAAAAGGATTCATCGAGGGGAGAAACCCTATCAATGCACGGAATGCGGGAAGAGCTTTAGCCAAAGTGGTAACCTGATTTCCCATAGAAGGAGCCACTCGGGAGAGAAACCGTATAAGTGTATGGAATGTGGAGAGAGCTTTATGTGGAACAGTCAGCTTACTTCTCACAGAAGTATCCACACAGGGGAGAAACCATATAAATGTGCGGACTGTGGGAAGAGCTTCAGCGACATCAGTCACCTGACTTCTCACAAAAGGATCCATACGGGGGAGAAACCATATAAATGTGCGGCGTGTGGAAAGAGCTTCAGCCAAAACAGTTCCCTGATTCTACATGAGAGGATTCACACGGGGGAGAAACCATATAAATGCGCGGAGTGTGGAAAGAGCTTCCGTGAAAAGAGATCTCTTCATTCCCACAAGCTGATCCACACTGGGGAGAAACCGTATAAATGCATGGAGTGTGGAAAGCACTTCCGTGAAAAAAGATCTCTTCGTTCTCATAAACTGATCCACACAGGGGAGAAACCGTATAAACCCTTAGACCGTAGGAACTGCTTCAGGAAGAGCAATTCCTTTATTTCCCATCAAAATATCCACTCGGATGAGAATTCATAGAAATATTAGCTTTACTTGGGTTCCATCTTTATCTCTGTTCTTGGCCTGAACTATACAAAGTCCTTCCTCTGAGTCCTGAATTCAATTTATACACTGCCTGACTCCTAACAGTTTTGTGAGATTCGCAAGAAAACAAAATTATAAAACAATAAAAACGGTGCAATAATAAAAGAATACATTTATCCAAACGTCTATAAACTTGATAGTAGCAAATATAAAAAGATTTAATTTCTTGAAGAAAACCTTAAAACAGAATCCTGCTCATTTATTCAAATTTTGAGTATTTCACTCTGTTCAGGACCAGTCCAGCTGCAGAATAAGGAAAGGTGGTTTTGTAACTCTCACCCCACTAGTGTTTCAAAAGGCCCTAAGATCTGGCTATTTGTCCAGGATCGGGTGTGTTTTTGTTGCTGTCTTTTATTGTTGCCTTGTTTTTTATTGTTTTATAGTTTTATGTTTTCTTGCAATCCCAGCAGAATCCTTGGGTGGTGTACAAATTGAATGAAATAAAGAGAAACTTCTTTGATTTCACTAAGATGCTCACAATTTCCTTTTGTGGTTTAAAAAAACAAGAGAATCGGCTTTTTAAGCATCTCAAATTCCGGACTATTTCATTTTATGTGTTCAGACGTGCATCGTATTATGGTTTTACAAATATGCTGTAGGATGCCTAAATTTGTTTTATCTGACCTGAGTTTGGAAGCGTAGCATCCAGACGGACATTCAACAGGTTTAGCTTCTCCGATCTCTTGAAGCAGCTACATTGGATGAATGTAACTCTGATTCATTCTTATAAAACTGAGTTATGATTTCTAACCATGCAAGAAAAAATTTCATAGATCCAGAGTCACCTCCGACAGTTTGATCTCTGCTTCCTTTGTCTAATATTCTTACAGTTCAATTATTTTTATCTCTCATTTATTCCTTAATACAGGTATTAACTGTGTCACAGGAAAAAAAAATCCTATATCCTCCTGAAACATAGCAAAAATATTTATTTATTTATTTACTTACTTACTTACTTACTTAGTTATTCAATTTATGCATTTCATTAATAAGGCTGCCCAACTCCATAGTGAACCTGGGTAGCAAATAACAACTTTTCCTTATTACCCCAAAAATACAAGTCAAAAAAACCCCAAGAAGACCATTCATTAACAAGGGCGTCAAACTGCCGGCCCACGGGCCAGATGCGTCACGCAGAAGCTGTGCCCACCCCATAGCCAGCAATAGCAAAACAGTCCCGATACGTTGCGCGACGTCACATGACGTCGCGAGTTTGACATGTCTGCATTAGAACCATCACTCGGTTTAACCTAAGGCTGAGGAAAGGGCTACATTTTAAATAGCAGGGGTCAGATAGATCTCAGGGGATCTTGTTCCCGAAGGTTTTAACTCAGTTTAACTTTCAGTTTCAGTTTTAACTCCGAGGACTCACGTAATAAGTTTCTAAATCAGTGATGGCGAACCTTTTAGAGACCGAGTGCCCAAACTGCAACCCAAAATGCACTTATTTATTGCCGGGTGCCAGGTGGGACGTGGCCCACTGGGTGGTCATGGCTGTGGTGGTCATGGCAGACTGGGTGGGTGTGGCCAGAGTGGATGTGGTCACCTAGATGTTGCTCATGGGGAGGGACACCTGTGGGGGCCAGGCAGGGTTGGGGGATATCCAGGGGATCTCTGGCAGGTGGGGCGGTGGGCAGGAGGCTCGTCCTGCGGCGTGAGGCGAGGCAGGGCAGGGGTGCCATTGCCACGGGGCAAGGTGAGGCAGAGGCTGGGGCAGTTGCTGCCTGACACCATCAGCCCCCCGCACACAGAGGCCAGTGAGTGCATGGGGGCCGACAGTGTCCATCAGCAGCCACAGCCTGCCGGCTCCTTGACCGGTGCACTCTGGGACTCTGCAGCCCACCGCCAGAAGTTCAGAGAAGCTGCCTCTGAGCTGGACAGCTGGCTGACAGCTGAGGAGGTGATGCAATGGGTTGTGCCTGGGAAAAGGAGAGCATGCGAGGCCAGGAGGGACGGGATGGGGGGGGAGGGAAACCAGCCGTGCCGGGATGCATCCGGCCATGTGGGACCTCGGGTGGCTGGTTGAAGAGGAATGGTTGCCATCTTCGGGGCACAGCATGCATGCATGCCCACAAAGAGGGCTCTGAGAGCCGCCTCTGGTATGTGTGTCATAAGTTCGCCACCACTGTTCTAAATCCTCTTTTCCCTATCAGGAGCTTTGGAGGTGAATGAAAACTACCAGGAGTCTTTTGTGCAGACGTCACAAACAGTAAATCATGAACTGATGAGCAAAACATTTGAAAGCCGGTGGGAACTGTGACCGCCCGTCTGTGCTGTAGCCACCCAGGAACCCAAACAGACACTATTCTGTTAAGAGTCCGAGTGAGAAATAACATAGTTTCTACAGATAATCTTTGACTTACAACCATTCATTTAGTGACTGTTCGAAGTTACATTGGCACTGAAAATAGTGGCTTATGATCGGTTTTCATACTTGCAAACCATTGCAGCATCCTCATAGTCACAGGATAAAAATTCTTGGCAACAATTACATATTGTGGGAAGTCAGCCCTCCCCCCTCCCCAAGTAAGAAATATTTTTGGAAATATTTAAAAGGCAGAATATATTTCCCTAAAGGATTTTAAAAGCAGAAACCAACCCTGCCCCCAAGTCTCTCCCAAACAGAAACCAAGTTTGCAGAATTGCAGATGTGATAATCTTGTCATAAAGAATGGAGTCAGGAAAGTGGGATTAGGAAGAAAGATCCCTAGAATCAACACACCAAAAATCTAAGAGTCATCAGCCACAGCCCCAGGGAAGCAGGATATGACCCTTGGGACATAATAGGGTTAACCCACCACCATCAGAATACCAGAAAGGCACACTCAGACTCAGGTCAAAGTTCATGCCACAGGAAAAACTCCAAACAAAAGGCTCCAGAGGGTATAAAAACCCGCTCCCTACATGTGCTCACTCTCTTTTTTTCCAGAGCCATCTGTCTGGCTGGCTCTCCTCTTCAATAAACTGCAACCTTCTTTCTAAAGCAGTCACCATGTTGTTTATTCCCNACAGGATGAAGACTTTTCCTTCAACAATATTTATGATGATTGCCCTGTCCCAGGGTCATATGATCACCATGTGTAAACTTCCCAGTGGGCTTCCAACAAGCACAATTAAAGGATGACACTAGACTCATTTAACAACTGCAGGATTCACATAACAACTGCAGTGATTTCACTTAAGAACCGTGGCAGAAGAAGGCTGTAAAATGGGGAAAAATTCACTTAATGACTGCCTTGCTTAGCAGTGGGACTTTTGGGCTCAATAAAGGAGAATAGTTGTCGTTCAGGGTTGAAATGAAGGGTGCTTGGTGCTCTCTGAACTTGGTTGTTTTCTTGCAGACATTTCTTGTAGACATCACCAATGGTAACTCCTAATTTTGGGCTCAATTGTGTCCGTAAAGTCAAGGACTACCTGCATAGGAAGATTTTTCCCAAAGGAGAAAGGAAGGGGGAGACTTTAAAAAGAGATTTGTGAGAAGAAGGAGGATGGAGTTATAATGGCTGGCCAACCACGGTGGAATCTAGACAGTTCTGGCTATCGAAGCTTGTGAATTTGAGGAACAGCAAGAGGACTGGTATCTTCAAATGGACTGGACAGTTGTGCATTGCTGAAGCTTTGTTGTTTTTCCTGGCACACATGGGCAAGAAACCCGAACCGGAAGAAGACACATTCTGGGAAAATAAATAGTAACGTGGAGATGTGGAACTGCCAAGATACATTCAGCAGAGGTGCAAGTCAAATTGTACCAGCCAGAGTCTGAATCTGTATGAGCTGGGGAGGAAGATAATGCCAATCAGTATAATTAACCCTAACTAGACAATATCAATAGCACTTAGACTTATATACCACTTTGCAGGGCTTTACAGCCCTCTCTAAGCAGTTTACAGAGTCAGCATATTGCCCCCAACAATCTGGGTCCTCATTTTACTGACCTCGGGAGGATGGAAAGCTGAGTTAACTTAGAGACTAGAACACAGAGGTAGCAACATTTATGTAGACACACTAGACCAGGGCTGTCAAACTGCCGGCCCGCAGGCCGGATGCTTCATGGCAAAGCCGCACCCCATTGCTGGCAATGGAAAAAAAAGTTGTGATACATCACGTGACATTGCGAGTTTGACACCCCTGTCTATGACACTATGTGCTAGATTTGATAAATTTGGTAAGAAGCAGGAAGTTTTCTACAGGTAGCAAACAAAATAGTTTATTTTAGAATGCTTCACCATTTGAAAATAACATGGAATAACATAGAATAACATAGTTGGAAGAGATCTAGGAATTTTTGTAGCCCATGCAGGAGAAGCTATACCATTCTGGATAAATGGTTGTCCAATCTTTCTTCAAAATTTCCAGTAATGGAGCACCCACAACTTCTGGAGCAGGGGTAGGTAACCTTGGCTTTTTTATGACTCGTGGACTTCAACTCCCAGAATTCCTGAGCCAGCATGGCTCAGCTTGGAAACCTCTCCCTTTCCCCTCAGCATGGCTGGCTCAGGAATTCTGGGAGTTGAAGTCCACAAGTCATAAAAGAGTCAAGATTGCCTACCCCAGTTCTGGAGGCAAGCAGTTCCACTGGTTAATTGTTCTGTCAGGAAATTTCTCCTTATTTCTAGGTAGATTCTCACCTTGATTAGTCTGTTTCTCTGTTCCCCCCACACACACCTTTTAATCAGACAATTAGTTAGAGAGGAGGCCAGAACATGGCTACTGATTGTAAATAACCTTGCAAAGGAATGCTGACAATAGCCGAATCTGCTGTGTGAATAAAACAACTCAGGAGTGGTGTCTGAAACCATAATCCTTTGGATCCACAAAGGCAGGCCTGAAAGTAAAAATAAAGTGTATATTGGAAAATATCTTGGAGATTGTGTGAAGGAAATCCTTTGGTTTTTCACGGGCCGCAGTCCTGGGGTCCCTCTGTACCAAACAGG